TCCGAGGTGGGTGAAATGAGGACCCAGACTGTGGGGGCATATGGGGGCAATATGCTGACTCTGTAAACCGCTTAGAGAGGGCTGAAAGCCCTATGAAGCGGTATATAAGTCTAACTGCTATTGCTATTGCTATGCCACGCCCTAGGTCATCACATAGACAGCTTTCTTTCTTTCTTTTTTAAAAACAAATAAATGCTTTCTGTTTTATTAGAACAGAACACAATTGAAATTGCAAATAAAAGCCATATGATTTGCTCCTTAACTATTTGAGTTTTATACACTAATCATTCCATGTTATGAGATAATTAATATAAATACTGCTGAAAGAGCAGGGAAGTACAGGTTTTTTACTACTTTAAATTAATGTCACATCAAGGCATTCTTTCCATGACTAATGTAGCAGAAATTTTAAGATGTTTTCAATTAAATTAGATACCCAGTAGACGGATTTGATCAAATTGTCTCCACGCTGTTGTCAAGCATGCCTCATTCTGTCATCAAAAACTACAGAATTATATCAAGTTTTACAGCATGGAGAACTGACAGGTTAAGATAGATCTGAGATATTTATTTATTAAGAACAGGGTTTTTTTTCTTTGGGCCGGGAGAGATGTTTATCTTAAAATTTGTGCTTCTTTCAGTGGATTGAATTAATACCAGTGGTGGAAGCTGAGAGGAAAAGGAAGGCATTGGGAAGAAACTGGTACACTTCTAAGACCCTGATTTATATATTATATATTTATCTATTTCTAGGCGTGTCATTTCTCTTAGGAGCCTCCATGTCTCTTCTGTTCTTTCCTTTATAGTTACTAGTTTTTGTTTTCTGCCTTTGTTCTTTTTAAAGACTCGCACTCGCAGTCTGAGGTAAACGGAACTCAATTTTATTGAACTAGTACAACTTAGGAACAGGACGCGAATGGAGAACCTAGCCCGCCTGACAGCTATTTATACTTGACAGCTGTCAGGCGAGCACCCAATCAGCGGTGCGCAATTCTCCCGCCAGCCAGCAGCTGCATCAGAGCCAATCAGCTGCTTCGGGCTCTGACGGCGGCTGCCAGCTGCGTCGGGAGGACGTAACAGTTCTCATTTTAAATATTGCAGCCTTTTGTTTTGAGTTGGCTGCTTTACATTAAATATTTCACTTGAAATATTTCAATTTGACAAAACCTCTCTTTAGTATTTCTTTTGTATTCCTTTATCCTTTGTGGTTAACAGCCCATAGAAATTATAGTTATGCTTTCATTATAACTGTTCACATGTTTTGTGGTGAAGGCTGGATTTGTTTTGTATTGTTCAACATTTTTCTTTTATCAATCCCTTTTACTAATTTGTGCTTTTTCACATACCTAGGATTCTTCTCTGTTTCTTGTGAAATGCTGGCAGTCACCTAAGTGGAAAAGCGAAACACTTAAATAGCATGCTTTGC